CCACATCTGTCCACTCCCTCTACCCCAGGATCCAGCGTGGCTGTGGCCCAGAGCACGTCCTGACCTTGCTTCACTCTTTGGTAGCAGGTCACTGCCCTGTCTCTATCCGCTCATCTTTTTCCAGGACTCTACTACATAGAAATAGGGGAAATGCAAACTCCCACTTCTCATCAGATAAATAATCAGCACCTTTGGACCAATTTGGGCAAAAATCAAGGGGAACCATGTTGATATTGCTCCTGAGAGGTCAGTTGAATTCTTGGAATCAGAGTGTTAGCACAGCTGCCTTCTTGCAGTGCAGTCTGAAGGCCACACCACAGAGAAGGCAAGATCCTACAGGAGGCACCTCTTGTTACTTACACAAACCCTGTGATGCAGCAAATCTTATCCTGTAGGTTGGCCTGTGTACTTTGCTTTCTGCTTAAAAGGTTACGTCAAGGATCACGTTCATTGGAGAGTGGGATGGTGCCTGTGAGTCTCCCATTGTCAACCGGAGGGTCTGTGAAGTCCATGCTACTCTGACTGCTCTCTGTGCACCTAGGTTTGGACACCAGACAGGCGCAGGTCATCGTCCTGTCCTCGGGGACCAAGTGCATCAGCGGCGAACACATCAATGACCAGGGGCTGGTGGTCAATGACTGCCACGCCGAGATCGTGGCCAGGAGGGCATTTCTTCATTTCCTCTATGCGCAGTTGGAGCTGCATCTGAGGTACATGGGCCTCGTGGGGCTGGAGGGTCTCTCTGGGGACTCGAGGTTCCTTGACGGTAGGACTAAGCACCTGACTGGTAAGCAGCAAAGGACAGAGAGGGTGAACCAGCTCAGAATGTGTCATTCTCATTATCCTGTTGGATTTCCTACACAGGTGAGCAGCTATACACCACACGGCATCCATTTTTACCCAGACTAGAGGCATTCTTTGAGCACTAGCTGGTGAGGTGCTGAAACACCAGGGGTCTTCTTCATTATTCCATGTTTCTCTCCAAGAAACACCTGACTGCCTAAAAGTTATGAAAGCACATACCTCCACACATGTGCCCATGTGCACAGATGTGTGTAAACATGTATTGTCATGGCTCATTCCATCTAATGATATTTTCCATTGAAACATCCCAAAGGTTGCTAAGGGCCGTACTTCACCCCAACAAATAAAAACTTCCTTCCTGAGGCTCAGACGCTGCTAGAGCCAAGAGAACACTCAGGTACATCCTTCTCCTTACACCACTGACTTTCAGCCAGTGTTTCTCCAGTTAGCTTCTCAAACTCAAAGTGAGATGAGGAGACAAGTAACTATAGGGCCATTTTACTAGCTGAAGGTGTCCCCCTAAACTAGTCAGACCCCCAGGTCTAGCCCACACTGTTACCTTTATTGTAGGGTCCATTGGAGGCCATGTCTTTCCCACCTCCAGCCTCCAGTAATTAAGCCCAGAACCAGCCTTCTGTTTAAAAAAACAAAGACAAAAATAAACAGAAAGAAATCACTGTGTCTCAGGATATGGGAATTTCTGGTCTCTGAAAACACAATTGCACCAGTTGAACTTGTATGTTTGTTTAGTGTGAGCTCACTTGGATCAGTGTCACCTCCACCCTGAACATCCGCTCCAACGTGCAAAGGTGCCAGGGTGACATGGACATCTCTGCTTGATTTTGACAAAACTGGGCCCACTTCAAATGGAACCCATATTTTCATATTTCTACCAGAGGAAGCACTGCTTCCTCCCTTCTTAGCATCTTATTTTGAGAAGTTCTGAACCAAGGAAACATCTCACAGAGTTTAGAGTTTCTACAAGACCAGCCAAGGTTCCCTCTCAGATGTCAGGCTCAGAGATGGGCAGCCATGTTGTATATAGTCCCCAGGCTTCACCCTCAGGCCATGGGGTCCATTTCCACAGAACAAGTCCGGGGCAAGCAGTTCTCGGTGTATCTGACTATCTGGCACTCAAAACCTGCCAGCCCTTGTGCTCCTGGAGGCGGCCACCCCCTCTTGACCTTCATCTCCCCCTGCTCACATTTCCACTGTGTTCTATTTCTAGACCTGGCCCTCAGGTAATGTGACCCAAGTGACCAGTGTTGGTTTTGAAATTTTGCCTCCACCTCCAAGCATACATGCACTCCAGTAAGGGGTTTCTAAAATTAAGAGGTTGTTTGGGCCCTAAGAAATGTGCTCCAATACTGAGATTTCAGGTGCCTATTAGGGAGAGGCAGGCTGTCACCTGGGCTGCCATCTCTCTCTATTGAGCAGGAGCAGAAACATAGGTGGGTTCGGACATATGACATCTGAGGGTCATTCCTAGATTGAGCTATCTAGTCACAGTGGTTGGTTGCTGAGCGTCTCCTTGGTAGAAATGTCCCTTCCTCGAGTCTTCCAGCTACCCTTTCATATCCTTTGAAGCAGTGCTCCTGGACTCCCTAAGAATGCCATCTCAGGGGGCATGTGAGTCCGTGTGCATTAGCACGTGAGGAAGCCACATAAAGGAAGGGAAGGCATGAATATATGCCAAATAGACGGAAATATAAGCAATACCTTAATGCACACAATTAATTTTTATCTGAGCCTCTTAGCAGTGAGCAGCAGCCTGATATATTGCCCCATATTAATCTCTGCCTGCTGAGGTGTGGTCAGAGTGGAATGTGAGGGAACAATAGATTGGAAATCTCTCGAAGCATGGGGAGGGATTTCTCTTAGATTGCCACCTGCTCAGTTAGAAACATTTCCAAGTGCCCTTAACTCTCGTTTGGGTCATGGCAGGCAGTTGAACAGACATGGGTTGGGAGCTGGCTGTGTGCTGGGCACTAGGCTGCAGCTGGGAGGGATGCAAGGACAAGGGCACCCCAATCCTGCTCTGCAGGGGGGACCAACCATGGCTATGAAAAGCCAGCAAACAGGAGCAAGGTTCCACATGGCCACGCTGAAACCCAGGGATGGGGCATGCTTGCTCTGAGGGTCAGTGGAGCAGAAGGCTGCCCGCATATCCCTGAAGGAGGGGTGGGTGGGCTTGGGCAGAGGGCCAGCGTGGGTGGCAGCAAATAAGCAAAACATAGAGGCAGAAAGGCTGGTGGACGCTGCAAGGGTTTCCTGGGGAGAAAATGTCTGTTCTGCTCCTGTGAGATCTCAGGGCCCAGCAAAACAGAATCCATCACCAGCAGGGCAGAACGTGTAAAAACAGCAAGGCTGGCAGAAAATAGACTGCCAGAGATCAGGGAAAAAGAAATCTGGGAGAGCAAACACAGCCATGTCTGTTCCAGGCCCGCTACGGGGCTTCTCTACTCTGCTGAGCAGGGGACTGCTCAGATTTGGGTCTGAGGTCTGTGAAGCAGCTTTTCCAGAGGCGAAAGTCTTGTATCGTTCAAGATCAGGAGACGAAGGTTTTCCCAGATCTACTCTGGGTCTGGATTGAATGCAGGAGGAAAGCAGATTGCTCACCACTTTCTGTCTCTACTTGTACTAGAGGCTAGGCCTGGCCCCTGTTTCAAGTCCCTTTTCTTCTTTAGAGGCACACATGTTACCCACGGGGGCAATGTCACATCAACAGTCACTAGGAGGTATTACTGTGAGGCACATTTGTGACCGCAGAATTCCAGTTCTATAAATATGGAGATGCAGGTTAATAGCAAGGGAGAAAACTGGTTTTGTAAAAGATAAGTTAAGGGAGGATAAGAGCAGCAAGGTTTCTGCTGGTTTGGATTTTCGCTCATGTAGTTCATTGTTCCCTATTCTAGAAGTGTTTGTGTGAGGAGAAAACACAGTAGGGTACATGAACCAGGAAATAATTGGGTAACAACTCTACAAAGTAAGGCCAGAATACTCACCTGCTTGGAATGCCTCTGGTTTGATTTGTAATAAGAACCTCTTTGTGACCCTAGCAAGCGACGAGAAGACTCTGATCGATCGATATTCATGCGATTAAAGGAGGGAGGTTACCGGCTACGAGAAAACATCCTCTTCCATCTCTACGTGAGCACATCCCCCTGCGGAGACGCGAGACTCAACTCTCCCTACGAAATCACCACAGACCGTAAGAGACAAAAAAATATATCACCCCAAGCTCTCCCGTACCTGGATTCTGCTCCAGGCTATCTCAGCCCAGGCCTCATGTGTGCATGGTCGCAGGAACTTAAGATGCTAGAAATGAACTGCATCTGCAATTAACTGGATGATTACGCCTCCAAAATCTTAGTCTAAAGGCCCAAATCATTGGCACAAAAATATTCTGAGGTCTAAAGTGAGCTATTTAATTGCCATAGTTCTCTATGTCATTTTAGCAGGTCTGATGGTCCCTATATCCCAGGCTGGAAAATACAATGGAGAAGGCAAATGAGAATTACATGGGATGAGAGCAAATGCAAACTGGCCGTTTGCATTCATTTTAAATTCAGAGAGAATGAAGCTTAGCTTTTATAACGAAGCCAGTGTGAGTGATGACTGGCAAAGTATCTAACCAGGTTAACTATGATGCTCCTTCCTGAGCCCCTCAGCAGGGTATGCCCTGTCAGCATTCATTGGTGGAGATAGGGCAGAAAGCATCCATGTGCCCATCAGCCCTCTTAATCATCACCAGCAGCGAAGTGTGTTCCAGGATTGGAGGACAAGGGTAGGCCTCTGCTTTGCTGTCCTTGACAACATCAGTAAAGCCATGATAGAAGAAAGAGTTGAAGGTTAGCTCTTCCTCCTCTTAAAAGTCATTATGAAGTTCTATCATTGGTGCTATAAACATATATTGTGTATGTATGTGTGTGTATGCACACATGGATACAGCTTTCCCTAACCCCCTTCCAAACCCCTCCCAGAAGCAGCCTGTGGCCAAC